GAGAGAGAGAGAGAGAGAGAGAGACCTGAAGCACAGATTTGCTCAGTAAAGTGACACTGGTAGGTGTAACAAGAACACAAAGAAACACACACTGGCACTGCCACACGCGCGCGCATGTGTGTGTGTGCGCATGGCGTGTGTGTGTGTGTGTGTGTGTGTGTGTGTGACTGAAAGGGAGAGAGAGAGAGAGAAAGAGAGAGAGAGAGTGTGCGCGTGCATGTGTGTGTGACTGAGAGTGTGTATGTGTATGTGTGTGTGTGTGTGTGTGTGTGCGCACGCGCTCATCTGCAGCAGTGAGTCGTTGCATTCCTCGAGAAGGCGGACTCTTATGCAGTTTATTCTCCATTTTTAGCTTGTTAAACCGCACGAGAGAGTCCTTCCCATCATCATACTTAAGCAGATTTCCGTCCATAAAGAGCAGCTCAGAGAGAGAGAGAGAGAGAGATCATCAGTGTTTCTGTATGGTGGATCTGCTCATGATGAGTCACAGGTGTGTGCTTGCGTTACAGAGCAACTTCTTTAATCATCGGGATTACTTTATCATTCATCGCCTCTCTCGATGTTCATGTGTTTTTCAACACGCTTACGACCAGCAGATCAAACTAACTAGTAAATTTGCAACAACATGTTAACTAAGTGTCATTAGAGTATTAGTAGACTGTCTGCTTAATATCTGATAACACTTTATTTTGTTCATCCCCCAACAGACGTTTAACTGACTTGGCAACTAAGTCAACTTATTCTGACTGACAGTCTACTAATACTCTAATGAGAGTTAGTTGACATGTAGTTGAAAAGTTAGTTAGTAGTAGAACGTCTAAAGTGGACTATCGAAATAAAGGCTAAACTAATTATACACTGTGCACCCACATATATTATGTCAATTAATCGTTTGACAGCCCTATATATATATATATATATATATATATATACTGTATATATATATACTGTATATATATTTATATCATACCATATTAACAAATATTATAAATAAATATGGAAAAAGAAGCTAACTAATTTGTCTTAAATCTCTTTATATATATGAAGAGTTCAGATGCAAAAGCCTCTAAATGCCATTTGAAATTTTCTTCTAAAATGACCATTTTTATCAAGCTTGTATATTTAAGTTCAGTGATTTCACTTAAATGGCAATTAATAGGTAATCTTCAATGCCATTTAAGTGAAATTACTGAACTGAAATATACAAGCTTGATAAAAATGATCATTTTAGAAGAACATTTCAAATGGCACTTAGAGGCTTTTGCATCTGAACTCTTCATATCTTATTTTTGTTACATTTGTAATATCTTAATGAATTATCTTAAAATTTCAGTCCTGTTTTTATATAGTAAAACCAATAATTGAAACTTTGATATTTGTAGAATGAATCCACCAACATTAAATGATCTGTCTAACAGGCGTGTTGTTGTTTTCATGGCCTTTAGCACGAGACTTTCACCTGTTGCCATAGTATAGCAAACAATAGTCATTTTATAACATTAACGTATAAAACTTTCTTTATTACTTTGTACTGTTACATTAAACGTTTAACCATGTTGCCTTTAAGAATATATCCCAACTACCCTATCTCACGACCAATTCGTCCGAATTTGTATACGAGTGATTCAAAAGTGGCTAATTCGTACTAATTCATACGACCTCACTCGTACGAATTTGTACGATTTGTCTAAACCCACGTGACGGTTATGTTTAGGGGCGGGGTCAGGGGTAGGTCATTCGTACGAATTCATACGAATAGGCTAATTCGTAAAATATGAACGATTTAGCAAAATCATACTAATTCGTACGAGTGAGGTCGTACGAATTGTTACGAAGTAAAATTCGTACGAATTCCGGTGAGATCGGGTTACATATATGATAGTTACATGTTACGTGTGCTTACTATTAATAACAGTAAATTATGCATAATTACAAGTAACTGACTAAACCAAACCCTGACCATCGTGAGATCAAGTTAATTAATATTACTCAGTACTTGTAATTACGTCACCTTAAAATAGTGTAACCAAAATTACCTACTAATTACTATTATAAAATTCACCTAAAAAGCGTCATAGCACTAATTAGTGTACCTGTGTATGAGTGTGAGAAAAAGAGAGAGAGTGTGTGTGTGTGTGTGTGTGTTCCTCAGGCAGCTTTCTCTCAGTGGGAGGTTTGGTGATCACTCTGTTCTGAGAGGATTTTATCACAGATGAGGGTAAAGCTTCACTAACGGACCGATTTATCCCTACAACAAGCCCTACCTTACTCTTCAACACTCTCACACACACTGCCACTCACAGCAGCAACCAGCAATTATGAGAACACCATGTCATTAGAGACTTATACAGACTCCTATTATCACACCCTCACAGACAGGGGGAATTAAAGTCAGCTATATAATAAGAAACACCATTTTAAAGACAAACAAACAAATAAAACCATGAATAGCTGCATATGAACCTGTGTGTGTGATCAAATCAGCAACACGTCACAGGTCTTAAAAAATATAAATGTGTTTCAATATGTTAAACTGAGCTGAGAGTATTACACTCATATTGGGAGAGAATAATCAATTTATCCAAAGTATTTCAAACAGTATTTAGAATGTTGGAATTCTGTGGATGTTCTCCAGATGGTTCCGCTGACGAGTGTTGGCGTTTGTGTGTGTGTGTGTGTGTGTGTGTGTGTGTGTGTTTGGATGGGGTGAACGCTGGTGTCCCGCTACTTCACTGAGTTACGCCCTGTTTTTCTTTTGTGATGCGGTGACGAGGGCGACCAGTGACACATGACCTCAGACTGGGAAAGCTTGACATCATTGATTTGTGCTCACATATCAATGGTCCATGACAAGTCAACAAAAAACGCACTTTTAGTGTACACTCTAAGAAATGCTGGGTTGTTTTGACTCAATTTTGGGTAAAATATGGACAAACCCAGCCATTGGGTTACATTTTGAAATTACATTTTTAACCCAATGGCTGAGTTTGTCCATATTTTACCCAAAATTGGGTTAAAACAACCCAGCATTTTTTAGAGTGTATAGGACCTATAAAACATCCCTCATTCAATGTAAGATTGTAGTTTTCTCAACATGAGCTGCATGAGTTGGAACTGAAAGACATCCAACTTGTGGTCCGTTCCCAATTCACTCTAAAAGTGCTCTGGGTCAAATATGGACAGACCCAAATTCTGGGTTAAAAATGTACAGTTGAAACTGAAAGTTGACGTTGGGTTGAGATTTTAAATGACATTTTTAACCCAACATTTGGGTTTGTCACTATTTGACCCAAATTTGGGTTAAAACAACCCAGCATTGTTTCGAGTGTTTGCTTCCAATTCTCTGTAAACTTTCCTGCACTCTAAATATGCTGGGTTGTTTAAACCAATTTTGGGTCAAATGTGAACAAACCAAAACATTGGGTTAAAAATTAAATTGAAAAAAAAAAAAAAACCCAAACTTTTTATATTAGAAATTTAAAAAGTACAAAAAAGTTGACATTTCTGGATTAGGAATGTAATTTGTCCAGGTTTGTCCATATTTGACCCAAAATTGAACCAGCATTTTTTTAGAGTGTGTCCCAACAAAGGCAAAAATGTCTTTAAATAAAAAAACGAACAAATGTTGACAAATTTTCCACGTTACCTGGACCGAGAACATCATGTTTATTATTAGTCAGCAAAAGCACTGGAGTGGACAAAAGTCTGCATCATCCGCCGGCTTTCGTCAAAACAACAGATTAGCCTATTCTTCCGCATTTTTGTATCCCTTAATCCCACGGACAGTCAGATCGACAGAGGGTTGTATATTTTCCGTGATATTCCGTCGTGGCGTTCTCTCTATATTCACTATTCTTTCACTGAAAACAAAAGTAACTCACTCCCGCTAAACGTTTACTCGTTGAATTCTCACACCCAGGAAGTCGACACTATTATGACTAAAAGTTTTCTAAGAGGTTTTTCCTACTAAAGCAAGGCGGTATTTGATCCTATAAGTGCAAATATAGCAGATTGGTGGGCGTGGCTTAGAACGGCAATTTGCCCAGTGCATTATGGGTGTTGAAATTTTCCTGTCAAAAGGGAAGACAAAAGCACATTTTAATGTCATTTTAATTTCCATATGCATCTAAAGGTTTTCTAAAGGTTATTTTTAGGAAATTTTACTGGTAAAAAAACATCCATTGTGAATCGTCAGAAATATAGCAAGGTATAAAGCATGGCCCTCTTCTTCCCTACGTAGTGAGACAAGTTTTTGAACAAAGAAACATGTAGGGCGGGACTTGATTTTGTCCATGGGAATTGATTGGAGCTTTGGTGAAAACTAAACAAATATTTAATTACTACAATAGTAATTCCTCACTAGAAATGACATCAAAAGTGGGTCAAAAACGCACATAGGCGTACACACCAACCGCAACTTTCATACGCCATCTTTATTTTTCAAGTTTAACAGTCACTGAATGGACGCACAGGATTGTGGGAAATCAAAGGCAGTGAAGGATGCATCTTCAAAACTCGAAATGAATGTATACAGCCGAGATATCGCTGCAAGATGTTTAAAGTCCCCGTCAACCAAAACGTGCAACCGACTTTAGTACTTCAGTGTTGTGACGAATATCCAAGTGAAACGGTAGTAATTGAAGAGTGCGCGGTTTTACTTTAGCGCAACAACTGGTACAAACATGAAAAACCATCAATATACAATCAAGCATTTGTACAGACAATACCATACCAAGACAAAGAACAAAAACAAGAAACATACAAACATAGTAAATGAAAGAGGAAAAATAATAAGGATATTAAGAGGAATTGGGGAATAGGTCATAATATTGAGATAAAAGCTTTCTATTCTTCTTGTTCTTTACAAGTTTGTGTGATTTAAGAAACATATTCCCAAAATAAAATGCTTAAAACACAAGGAAGACTTATTAAATTTCTGCTTGTGTATAAAGAAGCATATAAGTTTATAAAGTTTAAGACAAACTCCATCTCTCACTCATAGCAGACTGACGTTGGAGGGGCGTGGTTAAGGATATTTAACCAAAGTCGTCAAACCAACGTCATCAGAGAAAGTAATGGAAGCAATTTTTCAGATTTTAATTAACCACAACAAACAGATTTTTTTTTCTGTATAAACTTCCACTGATTAATTATTCACCACAAGACTAATGTGAGGTTGAGGTAACAAAGTAAGAGTCAATGCTGATATCCGACGTAGATTACGAGGTCACACGATTTTTAATGTAATGCGCACGGATAAATAATTTAAATGCAATATTCCATTAAAAAAAAAATATAATTTTGATTTCATGGTAACTTTGAAAACCTCAGAGCAGGTTTCTCTTGTCGTTCATGCTGGAGAAATATATAACAGACGAATTTATCAGAAACGCTTCTCAATATTAATAACTTATTTAATTATTTTATAAAAAAAATCCTGCTGTTATTGAATACGTCTGAATCTATAAGCCGTGTTGAATTTCTGAAGAACAGCGCTCGTGCTCTTGTTATATTGCTTAAATAACACAATCCCAAGCCCTGGTGTCATTGAACTATTTCAAGAATCAAGCCCCGAACAAACTGTTCCTTTAAACCTCTCGTGAGTGAGTGTGCGTGTGTGTGCGCGCTCTGAATGGAGTGTCGTTTTTCAGCTCTAACTCCTCCTCTGCATTCTGCTCGTCCAGCAGCACACACACACACACACACACTCGCGCGCTGCTGCGTGCTTGCGCATTCCCCATCAGCAGCAGCTCAACGTACAGGGCAACGGAACCGCTTCGCGGCCAAACACACCGTTTCGTTTTCAGAGACCGTTGATTAAACATGACGGTGGTGATTCAAAACGTGGAGGAAACGAGCTGATCTGAGGAGGAATCTGTGTTTTACGCGATTAAAACACGTCTTTCTTTGGGATAAGAGACTACGGAGGCACCGCGACCGTTGCAACTTTTGTTCACGCGCATTTAACTGACGGTTGCGGTTTTTTTTTTAAAGAAAAAGTCGCTCAACTTTTGGCGCTCGATTCATTCGGTCTGTGTGGAATGTAGAATCGGGTGAAAATACAATTTTATTTGTGTTTGGTAAGTTTTGTCGGGACGACAACAGAAGAGGACACAGCGCTGCACTGGAGTTTGTTGCAGGGATACCGATGAAACTGTCGAGCTTTGTGTGATCGCACGTAATCATGGACAAATTGGATTTAAATTCATGTGTCAAGGATTATTTCTGAAATACTTGTGTGTTTTTATCCCGCACTGACACGTTCTCGTGCACTTCAGAGTCAACACAAACTCTAGATTTTGTAACCGTTGCAAGACGCTCGTAAACATGCCGCAACTTAACGGAGGTGGAGGGGATGAGTTGGGGGCGAACGATGAAATGATCTCATTCAAAGATGAGGGAGAACAAGAGGACAAAATCTCCGAAAACGTTTCTGCCGAAAGAGATCTGGACGATGTCAAGTCCTCTCTAGTGAACGAGTCGGAAAACAACAGCAGTTCATCTGATTCTGAGGTAAGTCAGACACAACCGCATGTTGACAGACACATGGATGTGGTTGTTGCCGACGGAAAAATAACTTTTCTACTTTGTTTTTCTCCGTTCCTCGTCTGTCCTTCAGCAAACCGAGAGGAGACCACAGCCAAGACCTGATCATGATAGTTATGAGAAAGCCCGAGAGTATTTCGCCGAGGGTAAGAGCTCTCTGGTGCTGCTATGGCAGCCCGAATTAACAATTATTCTGTGTTTTTGGTACTACTAGTACTTTTAAATGAATTGGAAGTAATATAACTCTGACTGGTGCCTTTTCCAATTTCAGACAGTACTTTTTTCAAATAATATATTAACGATTCAGGTAGATTCAGTATTTGTTTTACTTATTTTTTAGTGTGCAGGCCGGTCAGTTTCAAGTCTGTTTTTTTTTTTTTGTAAAAGTGTCATAATTTAGACTAAAGGTAGCCATTTGAAACTTCTTTCACTGAGTAATTATTCACCACAAGACTAATGTGAGGTTACAAAGTAATTAGAGTCAATGCTGATATCACTACGACTTTAAAGATTACAAGGTCATAAATATTATATTCTATAAATATTGTATATTACAAGTAAAAAACAACAAACCAGTGAGAGGACGAGTGTTATGCTACGTTCAGACTGCAGGTAAAGGTGGCCTAAATCTGATTTAGTTTTTTGCTCTTATGTGACTGTTTTTGCCATGACAGTGTGAACCGCACAAACCACATGGAATATGATCTTTTCGATTATGATTTGGCCACTTTCATATGTGGTACTAAATCAGATACAGGTCAGATGTTTTGCAATGTGACCTCAGTCTGAACAGTCAAATCAGAATTCAAGCGTCTTTTAAATCACAATTCTGCGCTCATGGAAGTCACTTACAAGATTTGACATACCCCACGTTATCAAGACAGAAATAATATGACTGACAGCTCTATATTCAAGCAAATCATTAATGCTTAAAAATCTCTTTTCGCAGCCTCGTCTTTGTTTTTAATATTGCCGGCGCATCGCTGGCTCCAAACGGCAGATCACACAATAAATGAACGCGTAATCCCTTGCTTTAATGTCCTCCGGAAACACGGGTATACAAAGAATTCAATGGTAAAAATGTGAAGTTTGTTACCAGTAGCAATGCTACTTGTCACTAATGAGTACTAGTGAAAAGTTACTTATGGTATTAAAAAGTATACTAGTTAACATTGTATTAGGTATAGGGCTGTGCAAAAGTTAATTGCGATTAATCGCATCCAAAATAAAAGTCTGTGTTTACATAATATATTTGTGTGTGCTGTATATAATTATTTTGTATATATAAATACACACACATGCATGTATATATTTAAGAAAATATGTTATTCATATATAAAATATTTATATTTATATAATATAGATTATGTATTTATAAATATATACAGAATTTAAGCGCAAATAATCCTTAAATATATACATGCATGCATAGGTATTTATATATACAAAATAATTATACACAGCACACACAAATATATTATGTAAACACAGACTTTTATTTTGGATGCGATTAATCGCAATTAACTTTTGCACAGCCCTAATTAGGTACAAAAATAAGTACTATTTGTATCAGTAATGGGAATAAATGTTAAAACAGCTTGCCATACTTGTTCTTTACTTAAATGTTTGTCCTCACATGGATCCCTAATCATTACTCTCTCCCCTGTAAAGCTTTGAGAAGACAGCAAGATGGAGGATTTTTTAAGAGCCCATATCCAGGTTACCCATTTCTAATGATCCCAGATCTTTCCAGTCCTTACCTGTCCAACGGCGCCCTGTCTCCAAGCGCAAGAACGGTGAGTGCCATTAAACACACTATCTGTCTCTGTGCATCTCTTGAGTTCAAGAGCCAGTGAGAAACGCCATGTGAGAGTTTATATTATAATGTCCCTCGTATGGACACAAACCAACGTTTTTCCTTATTAAGCATCCCTGGTCAACCACTACTTTGAATATTGCATGGTTGTCTCCTTCACCATCTACGGTTTTGACCGTTTTCCAAAGCCACCCAGCTGAGAGCTTAAACAAATCAGCCCCTTTAATGGAAATTGAGTTTTAGCCACCAGATCACCAGTCAATGTAGACTTTATTTTTTTAATAATTTCATGTTATTTAGGGAATTTCCATGTGGAACTGGATTGAATGTAGACTTTATTTTTTGTAATTTCATGTTATTTAAAGAATATGCATGTGGAAGTGGATTGCTGGGACTTGATGTCATTTTAGCATTAGTTCAAGTGTGAGGCTATTAAACTGTTTAATTGGTTTTAATTGTGTACTCTAGCTGTTTGACAGATTTGCATTCATTTATTTGCAGTCCAAAAGATCATGTTGAGTTATCGCCAGCGTTTACTGGATCAGATTTGCCAAAATCTTGTGTCTAAAGTGTTTCAGCCTCTCATTTCGCTAAGAATTCCTCATGTTTGCCTGTAAAATGGTTGGCTAATTGATCTAATACCCAGTCAATCGAATTTAGTGCTGTCTGCCACTGGGCTGTAATTAAGCATATTCAGACTTGCTTGTTTAGCTTTCTTCAAAATAAGATTAGACTGGCCGAGAGAAGAGATCTGTCACACTGAAACTCTATCTGGGTGTTCGCTCTTCTTGTCCAAGGGCTGCAGAGTTTGCCTATAGATGTGTTTTGAGTTTTGTGCTCACGTCTGGGAAAGGTTGACTGCCCTTTTAGCCCCAGCATTGGGTCTTTTCAACCCAATTTGCAAAGAACTCAGCAGGCATTCATGTATGGCTTTGCTGTGGCGTTATGCGTCAGCGCTCTGCAGGAAAAGAGAATGAACGGTTGGTTCTTTGCACAGAAAAAAAGGAGAACGGGAGTGTTTTTTTGGCTAAACCGTAAGCCATCTCCCCAAATCAACACTTTTTACAGCCATTGTTTATTCCGAAGCTCAAATCCTCCTGCTTTACTCTGAATCGCAATGTGATTTGATTGGACCCGGCCAAGCGTTTGAGCGAAAAGTTGCGCTCCCACCCCCCATCCTTCCTCCAGACTTTCGCACAAGTTTCTCCGTTTCTTTTCACTCGTCCCCTCCTTTCCAATCCCTTCCATTCAATTCCTAAGACGTTAGTCTTACATTGTGATTCTGAGTGAATGCTGATAGCTTCATTGGGATCTCCATTGGCCCTCATTAGCCTAATGGCTGCTCCTTACAGACTCGATGCATAGTAGTAGCGGTACCCATGTCTCTTTTGTTCCTCAGCCCATAGTGTGTTGTTGTGGGAAGAGCCTATTTCTTAAATTATCATGGTTCATCCCGCCCATAACACCACCTCGGGCTGTACCTGCAACTCGCAAACTTGTGCGAGATTTCCGTTATGACTCGTTTACCACGGTCAAGTCAAGTGTTCCCATGTTTGACTCAATGTTGGGAAATTACGTCAATATCACAAGCACAGAAGCCCTCTGTTACCACTAATATAATGCCAGAGTCTAATATAGGTTTACTAGCGAATATTCAGATGATGTCATTCAGGATAAGGAGGATTACAACTTATTTTAATTCGTTTAGCTGATGGGAAGATGGGTAAAATGGCACCGTAACCGAATGCATCCGGATGTACACGCGAGACCCAAATACATAATCTTTTCCCTCATCACGTTTTAAAAAAGAGCCATTTAAAACGTATTATTCCTCACAGTGTTCGAATCGCCACAAGTTCATAACCTCCAGAACCCGAGCATATCGGCGCTCGGGTTTTTATCTGTAAGTTCCTGAAAACAGATCATCCCGTAGTAAGAGATATCTCCGGCGCTCGTGCTTTAAGCCCGTCGGATCTATCCCAGCGTGGACCGAGTGAAACGGGAGGTCATCGAGGCAGATGGGCTTATCCTGTCAATCGCCACCTCTAGAGCGAGCTGCGCGTCAGACAATGATAGCTGGCATACTTCAGATATTTACACACTAATCTTAAGCTCTCGCTCAGACAGCCTCAGTCACAGCTGTCAAAATCACATAAGGAAGTTTCCAAACAAAACTTGAGGGAGCCCGTCAGAATCTGGATGATCTTTTGTGGTCGCGCTCCAACTTTCACACAAACGTAGGGTATGTTTGCCAGGAATAAGCAGAAGTCTTTTGCATTCAGAATTTGAGCAATTTGACAATGTCATCACGGTGTTCAATTTTTTGTTACGTGGAGAATTTGGGGAACTGAATATAAAAGAGAAATGTTCTTTGTCTGGATGAGAGCCATTAAAATTTCACCATGGGTCTGTTTCAAAAGAAAAGTTTTTTTTTTCTTCTTCTTGTCAAATTATTTTACTGAAAAATCTCAGGAATTTTTTGGCCTCTTGCCTTTTGTATGATGCACTATATTTGTGTAACAGTGCAAATGCAATAAAATTGATGTCCCGTCCTGTGAGTTTTGTTTACATCTATATTTACTATACACTTTCCCTGTCTATATACACATAAATCATGTTACAGGTATCTGAGATTGCACAACACTCAAAGCAGGCCGCAGTGAAGCCTAAAGCGGTCGCACATAGAGTGAACTAATCATGTCGCTTCTAAACTAATATGTACATTTCTAGTGCTGTTGCTCTGAAAGCCCCGAGGTGGAATTGAGAAGCTCCTCTGGATTCACAGACTTCATGGAATATTTATAGTTTTCTTTTGTTGTGTATAAAAAAGTGAAGTGAAAGAAAATTGCCAAAGGGAATGTGGAGTTTTGAATACCTGTGGTTGTAGTTAAGGAATACAAACAAAAGCATTTTTTAATCTTAAATGTACAGAAACGCTTAACATGCTGTCCCTTGTCGTGTTTAATGAGGTTATTGTTGTCGAGTGACAGGTTAGTTACATCATATTTATTGTATGATGTGCTTTGCAAAAAGAACTGCTGTAATGACAAAATAGTAATTGGTAGAATCCATAATAGTACACTCTAAAAATTACTGGGTTGTTTTAACTAGAACTAGAGCCCGACCGATAAAGGATTTTAAAAGGCCGATACCGATACAAATATTTTTGGGTTTTAAAATCAGATATTCCGATATATCGGCCGATATATTTTTTTCAGAAACGCGCAACAAAACATTAACAGATTTCCCTAACATAGTTATTTATGAGTTTTAACTAAAATAATATGATAAAGCATTTTAAAAAGTTTCTTTTATTGTCACAACATAACAGGGGAACATCAAAATATATTAAAGTTCTGATAAATAAAATAATAATTAGTCCCTACATTGCCTTATAAGCTACCTTAAAATTACTATGTCAGGTTAGCTAGTCTATGATGAGTCTATTAGCAATAGATAACGTCATACTGCAAATTGTAAAACATACATTTTCAATTTAACAGGCCAAGGAAAGATGATTGAAGCATGTTTTGTCCGTTTTTATTTTATTTTTGAAATATTAATTTATCGGCCATTATAACTGCGATACCGATATTCAATCAACTTTATTCCAGACACAAAGGTCCATAGAGACAACACAGTACAGATATTTAAATAAATAAATAACAATACAAGCAGTTAAAAAAAATAGTTAGTTTGGAAAATGTCTAATATCGGCCAATAATATCGGCCGGCCGATATATCGGTCTGGCTCTAGTTTTAACCCAACTTTTGGTCAAATATGGACAGATCCAGCCATTGGGATACCTTTTTTAATTAAATTTTTAACCCAATGTTTTGGTTTATCTATTTTTTACCCAAAGTTGCAGCATTTTTAGAGTGTAGATAGATTGGCTAGCTAGTCTATTTATAACGAAATGTTAAGAATTCAGTAAAAATTCCCATATCTATAATTTTTTACATGTATTAATTTTGAAACACAAGAATGTGTCTTATGTAAACATGGAAACACTGCAACTGGATGATTTAAAATATATATATATATATATAGGCCTATTATTTTGCTAGTCTGAAATATCAGTCTGAATCTGTTGGTGAAAAGTAGACCTACACTTTAATTCAAATCGCTAACCTTGAATGCAATTTTGAATGCTGAAGACCTTCAACACATCAATGAAATAAATTGCTAAAAAGAAAAAAAAAAATTGGCTTTTCTTTAAGTGTTTTGTGGCCTTACATTCAGATCTGCACAAGATTAGCCAAAGCCATTGAGTTCAGTTCAAACCTCATGCTTGTTGTTTGATTTTTTTTCTCTCACATTTCTATTCAGCTAGCAGCGAGGACAACCGTCCAGATAACTTTAAAAAGCATTGTGTAGGACTGAGTTTGGAGAAAAAGAGCTGAATAGAAGACATTAATAAGTGGAAGATGGAAAGAAACAGAGGTATGAAGTGACAGAAGGGAAAGATGTGGGGAAATGCAGGCGTGCAGATTTCCCATAATTGATTTAGGGCCTGCTCGAAGCTGACATTCCTCAATAATCCAGTGGGACTGTTTTTAAGGATTGAGTGTGTCGGCCAACCAGCTCTACTCTTCTCAATGCTTGTCACTGAGATGAATGCTCAAGCTTTGCCTGAGGAATCGTCTGTTCTAGGGGCTTGTGTTGGAAACAGAGAGAACTCGATATATTGAGTCATTTACAATGCATTTGTTGGTAAAATAAAATTAAGCCACATTTTGAATACTTTCATTTGATGTGGCATTGGAAAGATTTTAAGATAAAAAGCATATTGAAGTTTGGTGCTCACTTGGGTGTCATGACTTCGAATCCAGCTCGCAACATGTTGTCAAAGATAATCTCATAACAGGTATTGTCCTATAGTACAACCTCTTTCAAGCCACTGCAATGCCTCTATTCATTTCAATGACAGGTTTTGACATGTAGTGTTGTAAACGTACTGAATGCATTCAATCCTAAAT